ATGTAACAACTACAGCTAACATGTGCTGTTCTTCATATAGTTTTCTAGTTCCTTAGCTAACTAGTTCCTTAACTAGCTAAGAACTTAGCTAGCTAATACTACTAGCTGTAGTATTAGTACTACAGCTAAACTAGCTATAAATTCTTGCTCCAAATGTCACAATTATTGTGACTAATTTTTAGTGTCAGTGCAATCATCCACCACAAAAATATTGAAATTTTGATCAGCTTGCTTTGCGTGTGATTTAATATTCTTGATGAACGTATTTTTCCTCATGTGTATAGTCCCGACCAGAAGGTCAAACAGATTCTGGAAAAAAACAAACCAGAGTCCGTGGAGGAGAAGTCGACTGCCGAGGGAGGAAAAAAAAGTCTGCTCTCTGCACACAAGTTGAGCGGAGTGCATCTCTTCACAGGAGAGGCTGTTGGAACCTCGCTCCGTCTCCTCCCAGCTCCTCTCAGTGAGAGGATTCCTGGCTGCGGCCGTGCCGCCACCTGGGAGTCCATCAGTCATTGTTACGGCCGGCCATCCGTTCCTGTTGCTCTGCTTAAATAAACTGAATGGGGCACAGACGGAAAAATACTGCGCCCCATCAAATGTTAAGCTCTGCAAAACAGACTATGTGGAAACAAGGTCAGGTTTTATAACCAGAACCCTGCAATGTGTCTGTCTGCTTCTCTCTCTGGGAATATGGAGGAACTGCCCATATGCTCCGGTGACACCAACTACACCTTTTTTTTTTTTTATAAAGATGAGGCACATAAATCATTTATGACAATGCCAGGGTAAAGCATGTGTTGCAATGCCATCTGACATTTTGGACAGCAGGACAGCTTGTTATTTATTTATTTTCTAGAGAAAAAAAAAAAAATAATTTTAGCTCCTTTGGGTCATTAACACTTTAAAACATAATAATGTAAAAATAGATAAGTGGTGTTTTTTTTGGTTTGCAAATGCTAATAATTCAGACTGCTCTTTCAAAAACTAAAAAGAAATCACAACATTCAAACAAATTTAAGCCTGGACTTGAACTAAACCACTCAAAATGTCAAAGGTTCTTGAGTTTCTCTCAGAAAACTTGCTGAGCCCAGTGGTTGGAGCGCTTGGCAGTCATTCATCCAGCGGCCCGTCGTGTTTTTGGGTTAAAAATGTTCAAAGTTGACAAGAAATTTCAAAATATCACTTGATAATTATGTGCTATTGAAAGATTGGAAGATTAATATCTGAACACCAACTAAAAAGTCTTAAAAAATGCAAACATTTTAGAAAAACTTAAATAGATAAGCAATGCTAAGCCTAGTGAGGGCCACAAGTAAAGCCTGGTGACCCGCCAGGCTTATAGTACACTAGGTAAGGTCAGAAACTTAAGAACTTCTTGTTCATGAATTTGTGGTAAAGAGCAGAATTACTGATTCCCCTCATCACGTGAACTTGTCCAGGTCTTGAAACAGCAAATTCACCACAGACCACCATTATATTTGACTGCATGCATTATGTCATTTTTTCTGAAATGTTGCTAGCTTTACACCACATCTAACAGGACGCACACCTCTAAAAACTTGAGGCATTCATCTCTTTGAGTCCAAAGATGATTTTTTTTTCTCAAAAGTTTTAAGGATCTTCAAAAAGTGTTGTGGAAAATGTCAGGCAGACCTTTGTGTTCTTTCTGCTCAGCAGTGCTTTCTACCTCGGAACCATTGATGTCATTTCCCCGAAGTCTATTATTGTTGAGTCATAAACACTGACCTTAACTTAGGTGTAAAAAAAAAAAAATGTCATCCTCTGTGGTGTCCCTTTGTCTTTGTATTTCAGTAGTTTCATGAGTTGTTAAGATAAATGGATAACGGTTTAGTTTAATTTATTGAACTGAATCGTGTTACACCCTTTTTCCAAATGGTTCTGACTGTTGTTTGGGCCAAGTTGACTCTTATGAACTATGACTGAAACCTTCGTGGGTTGTATAACCACATTTTCTGACAAGACCCCTTGAGCTGAACGTAGGAAATTACTTAATGTCACTTTAAATTGGAAACAACAATTGGTAATAAGGCAAAATGACAAATGAGGTTATTTATTAACATTAATTTATAGCAGCTTTTACCAGATTCTTAAATGCTTCATTGGTCAGAATTCTGGCTTTACTTTTGGTTTGATGAGATTATTCACGGAAACACAACAACTTAAGTAGAATTTAGATCAATCTTATCCATTGTTTATCCAAAAACAAACTCCAAATTGGCTCCAAATAGTTAGTAGACAATGTTCTTCCTCACGTACAGATCCAAATAATCTGTAATAGAGCTATATCAAAGCTCTAATTGTCCAATGCAGCCGATATTAGTCATAAAACCTGAACTTCAAAGGAAGCCATCATTTAATCTTGGCCAAAGTAATATTAACAACAGTATTTTAGAAAATCCTTTGATCTCAGGAGCTAAATGTGCTTCTGTCCCGACCAACAGCAGTGGCTCGGTATTGATGTTTCTTAAACATGTTTACATGATGGCTGTGAGTCTTTGGCCATGTGTCCAGAAGCACATTACCCTGGCCACTGCCTTTCTACGCAATTCTGCTTGATTCTATAAAGAGAAATTTGAAAGATGTGAATATCTTTTAGCAGGTTTTCTTCCAGGATTCCTCTGCATTATGGGTCGATCAATCTTCCAATCAACTGTGGCCAGCTTCTCTGAATTTCAGGGATCTCAAACCTCCCCCATTCTCCACGGCTGACATCCTTCAACCTTCAACCTTGAGATGCTCCAACGTACTTAAATCAGATGTCTAATTTACCTCCTTAGCGGAAAGTCAGGCTTCACAAAGCTCCGCTGGTGACCTAATTGTCTGATTATGACGCGCTGGAGCAGATAAATGTGTGAAGCTGCAGGCCACCAGCAACCGAAACTCCCAATTTGAAAACTGAACCGAGTTTGACCAAGAACTGGATCTGCATCCATCACTTTCAGCTCTATCCACTCATTCAATCGGCACTACTGTTTATGTCTGCGTTCACTCCTCACTCCATCAACCTATTGCACATATCACTTTCATGATAAATCAGAGACTATAATTCATACTTTACAAATACTCCACACAGACTTTGCCATATATGGCACTTTAATGTCGATGGTAATGTCACGGATCACCTTATGCATACACATTGTTCTCTTCATACTTTAAAAACTAGTTTAGTACTATATATCTTTTTTTTGATTTTGAATTTAATGTTTATTTGCGTATTGCACCATTGTTCTGAGAGTAACTTACCATATTTACAGCACTATAAGGCGCACCTAAAAACCTTCAATTTCCTCAAAAGCCAGCAGTGCACCTTATAATCCAGTGCGCCTTATATATGGACCAATATTGAGCCACAACAGGTCTAGCAACTACGGTAAGCAGCCGCCGACTTCATTTTTGCCCGTAGAAGAAGAAGCGCGCGGTGCATGCTGGGATAGTTGTCAGAACGCTGGTTTGTTAATAAAGTTTCACTGACCTATCGACCGTCTAGAATCAGGTCGTCTGCAGGTCATTTAGCACCACGTTCTCCACCAACATGCTGTGCGTGAACGGAGAAGGGTGACCATCGTCCGGCCACGCCCCGGCCCAGTCGCTGAAGGCTCTCCTCGCCGACCGGAGTCGGACTGTTTTGTTGACATTCTTTATGTCAACAAAGTGGCTTTAGACATTCATCCGGGGTGCTTCGACTAGGGCTACCAAGGGACCAGCCCCTATACATTTAAAGCTGGGAGGGGGCGAGGGAAGAGAGACAGAGACTGCAGCGGCAGCGTGTTGGTTGGTCTGTGTTACCCAGAAACCAGTTGGGCAAAATATCGCAACACCAACACCGTGAGTGAAACAATGACTGGGGCAGCCTACTATATAAAGTACTCGGGGACCACTTTATTATTACATATCCACATTTGTAGAGTACGGAACAAATAGTGCTCTGTGGGTTCAATACGGGACGGGTGGCAACCCTAACTTTAGCGTCTATTCTAAGCGCCTTATAATGCGGTGCGCCTTATATATGAAAAAAGTTTTAAAATAGGCCATTCATTGAAGGTGCGACTTATAATCTGGTCTGCCTTATAGTGCGGAAAATACGGTAATTTCAATCTTGTGTATGTCAGTAAAATAAAATAAAAGTTCTGCAAATCACACTGAGAAACTGAAAAATATTCCTACAGATATGAATTTGTCCAGTCTGGCATTGTTTTGTTTTTTCCCCGTCTTGTATGTTGATGGTGGACAACACCAAGAAAAGCACCAGTGGTGTTGTTTTTTCAAAAATAAAGTAACTTTTAATGACCTATGATACTTACATTTATTTCAAACTCCAATTGCAGTTAGTATAATTGTGCAAATATAGGCAATAAATATGTATATCTCATTTGCTTTACATTGTGTTAACATGTATTTGAAAAAAAATATAAATATATATTTGATTATGTAGAGGAGACGCTGAAAGCATGACATTGCTCAGAGAACACAGCATAGAATTAGACTGAACAGATCTACCCTAATGGGTCGGACACAGTCACAAAGACGTGATCTAGAATTTTTTCAACATCAGGACCGATACAGATATTATCAGATTGGTGTGTCTCTACTTCTCAATGTTTTGTATTCATTTGCTTCCCCTTTACCATGTAAAATCCCAATAAAACACATCGGTGCCTGTTTTTGTGACGCAACGAAACGTTTAAAAAAGCTTCAGGGGAGTCAATTCTTTCACAAGGCACAGTATCTGCTCTGATACAGAAGCTTCCAGCGGCAGACCACACTGCAATTACAGGTTTATTTTTGAAAACCTGCTTAACCATAAAGCGCCCATGAATAGGTCTTAAATAACCGGGTGTCGGATGTCTGCAACCCCGTGGTTCGCTGCCACCAGTTACCACTACTAATTGCTCCCGACTACATTCCCCATAATTCCTCGGCTTCCTGTGGCTTACTTTTATTTTTTCCATGCTGAGACTTGGGCAGGATGAGGTAAAAGGTTCCAAAACATCTTCACTAGACGGGCTCCAACCACATGAGGAGAAAGAAGTAGGTCGTCCGGGCTGATAATTGGGACATTTTGGTAATAGAGACTCGTAATGGAACGAGTTCAGTTCCAGCAGAGTTAAGATTTTCCTTCTGGGGAAACCAGCAGGGATGGAAAAACAGAGAAGGAGAAAGAAGGCCACCTCTCAGCAGAAAAGGAGACATGCCCTCCTGTTTCGGTTTAGAAGATTTTGGAAGAAAAATCAAAGCTGCTGTTGTGAACAAGAAACAAATGAAATGATGGTCTTCAGTCTTATTTTCTATGTGAGTATAAATCAACTTTTGTGGCCTTGGACAGACTAGAAGTTTACACTTTCTATCTTTCTCGTGACTTACTAAATGTAGGATTTACAGAAAAAGGAAGTTTCAATCCAAATTTGAGAGGTATGACTTACAGTCGTCGATGCGGCTGGCTTCTCGAACATCCTCTTCAGGCTGTCCAGCTGAATATCAAACCTCTCCACCCTCTTCGCAGCCTGCAGGTCCTCCCTGAGCGCCGGCTCGTCTGATGTCACTACCTGCGGCCCGGCGGGAGCGCAGGAAACGAAGCCCGAGGTCGCGCTCACCACCTCCTCTCCATTTCCTGATTGAATTTCCATTGTTGTAGGGGAAACTGGACACCTCTCTGCTTTTTCCCTGCAGAGTGCTGCCGCGTAAGGTGAAGCAGGAGAAGGCAGATGTTGCAGGGAGTTCTTCACCGTACGAGCAGCTTCTTTGGGATTGACCAGGCGTTCCGAGAGGTTGTAGGAGGGAGGAGGAGAAAGGAAAAAAAAAAAAAAAAAAAAAAAGTTTTTCCCCCCTTTTACTCCTGTGCCCTGTAATTACTCACGCACATGAAGGCCTATGTAAGCTCACATGTGGGTTTAGGAAAGCATGTTGAGGTACGAGCAACGGGCCGAAGCGGTGACGACAGGCCAGCTGAGGAAACCCGTTTTAGATTTAGGCAACTTTTGTTAGTTCACTGGAGTTTGTTTTTAGGGGTAACCGATGTAAAAGGTAAACAAAATTGCAGCGTTTTTGAAGTTATTTTTGAAAAAAAAAAAAAAAAGATAAAACATAAATAAAAAAAATACATGCATTAATTCCCTTCCCCTTCAAAAATAAGTGGAACTCAAAACGCTGAGTTCATTAGAACAAATTCTCAATAACATGAAATTACATTTTGTAACCTAGCAACGTGTTCGACGGCTGTAGTAAGAAAAACTAAAATTATGAGAAAGTCATAACATTATGGAAATAAAGTCATCTGAGAATAAGGTCGAAAAGTATTACAAGAATAAAGTTGCACAAGAGCAAAGTTGAACTAATATAAAAATAAAGCCAGAGCTTTATTTTTGTATTACGGCTTTGTGGTAGATACAGTAGATGGCAGCTCAGCTTACAGAGAGCAATAAATGTTGTTATGCACTTTATCCAAGTCAAATTATAGAAGATGCTTCAATAAAACACCAGGAAAAGAGAAAGTAGCTTCTACATTTACGTAGAAACTGTGAGATTAGTCGTGCGCCATGTATCAATCTCAGCAGGATTCCAGGAAACTGACTTCTTCCTCACCCGTCCCTTATTCAGATTTAGTTCTGAACAAATCAAGGCGAGGCCCTACAGCTTTAATCTGTGTGGCCTGCAGCAGGGATTGTCCGTTTTCCTCTAGGCGTTCCAGCTCTTCCCGCAGCGTTTTCCTGTAATGGGGGCTCGGCCAGAAGTGAGAAATTAACACGTCGACTTGGTTTCCTGCGTGACTCGGAGATAGGGTGTCTCATCCTGTCACGGTCAACGAGTGAATCTGTGCAGATCAGGGCGAGTCTGAATACAACGCTGAGTGAGTGAGGCGCACCGAGAGACTGGCAGGAGGAAGAAGACGGGGGGGGAAATCAGGAGATACCAGTACCTTAGGGATAAGACCGGTTGGGACCAGTGGAGTTGCTAACTGGGAAATTCACACTTCAACTTAGATAAAAAAATAATAATAATAATGATTGAAGGGGAAATAAAGAGCGAACCAAAGTATTTGCCCCTGAGCCCCATAGCGGCCTCTCCATAATCTGTCATTTTAATCTTTGTAGAGGAATTCTGAACTGTTTTAATTCTCATATTGGGGCGTTATTCATACCAACTCGATAAGTTAGAATATTACTGAAAGCCCATTTATTTCTGGAACTTTATCACTAAGTGAAACTCATTATATAGATTAATTACACACAGATGGATGTTTGAAAGCCTATTTTTTTCCCAGTTAATTATGATAATTTCCCACTTGCAGCTAATAAAAAACATAACATTAAAAATTAGATTACTACAAGACACTAATAAAAAATGTAATACAGAATTGTGGGCTTAGTTTATTAATTCTTTTAAGGATGATTTTCAAAAGGTACTTTTGATGAGCCTCATCTGAACACATTCTAATTTATTAACTATTACTGTAGAGCGTGGACATCCTGTCTTAGGTCACTAAAACCTTCATTTTGTGTTTTAACATTGTAGACTTCATTGTGCGCTGATGACATTATCTTGTCTGAGAGCAGAGGTTTACTACAAATGATTACAGATGATTAAGCATCATACTGCCACCACCATGTTTGCCTCTTACTATGATGATCATATTCTCAATGGCGTGCGCTAAGTTTTAGTTTTCAGTTTCCCAAATGGTCTTGAAAATCATCCAGACTGCGTATTCGTTTTTTGTTTGCCTGCATTTGTGGATTACGGCTTTCCCAAATCTTTAGAAACAGCTTTGTATCCCTTTAAATACTGATAGATGTAAAAGGTTTTATTTTTTATGCGATTGTGTGTTGCCGTTTGAGATCTTTCAGTCTACTAAAACGGAGGCAAATATCTAATTTACCAAGAAGATAGGGGCTGGGGGAGTTGTTGCTTTTCACAAAGTGCCCGGTTGATTTTTTCCTCCTATTAATAAATAAAAATCATCATTTCAAAACTATCTTCATGCCAAATGCGCAAGTAAGAAAGGCAAAAGCAGGAGAAATCTTGTAAAGCCAGCAAAGCTAATATAGTTTCTCATAGGGTTGGGGAGAATGGAAAGATGAAGCTTTCCAAATCCAATCTTAGGGAATGAGTGGTCATGATATATACCTCTGATAGCAATTTGGAGAAGCTGGAGGACATCGTATCACTGCATTCTCAGCAGCCAAAGATGCATTATTCAGAGAGGGCCACAGGTTTGTGTCACTTTCAGCTGGATCCTGTTTCCAACGAGGCCACTCGCCTTACTGCAGTGACTCACATACCAAGAAGATGTACATTATGTCCACTCAGGCCATTTTTTTTTATATTTCTGTCATTTCTTTTTACTCTAATTATTTATATTCCATCTAGCCAATACGGTAGGCTTAAAGAGAAAACAGGCTCTCGAAGACCTGAGCCGACGGAATACTAAAGGTTTTCTGTGATGTGCATGTCAATTTGCTGTTTAGTGAAAGCAGCGGGTGGACATTGTTCAAAGTGAAGTGCAGGATGAATTAGGCATGAGAGCGAACAGAAAGAACTGCAAACTGGAGTCCAGACAAGCTGTTATTTTATGCCAGAAGACAAGAAACGGTGCTGTAAAGATTTAAGATCGTTTTTATTAGGCGAACAGCGGCAGGTTCTTGCTATGTCCCAGTCCGTATTTCTTGAATTTCTCACCATGTCTGACCGAGCATGAATTTCATGAGAATGAGCTGCAGCACCTTGTAAAGTTACTTGTCTTATAAACCAAATTTCTGTACTGCTGCTGTTCAACAGTACAAGATGATCGGCTTAACTTTTATTTAGATTTTTGGTAATAGAATAGTTTTTGGAGGCATCTTAAAACGTAACAAGTGTATCAATGACTGACGTTATACTCTGATTTTGTCATTTTATGAAACAAATACATGAAAACACAGGAGATTTTTAATAAGTAAGAAGTTGAGTAAGACTTGCATTCAGTAACACAACTCTAGATGTATTTCAGGCACTGTACACACAAAGACGAGTGCGGTGCGTTTTTGTCAACAAAAAAAAATGCAGCGTGGTATGCAGCATCACAGAAAACGATGTAGTTGGTATGCCGGGCCCAACGGTGGCGCTGTAACACTGTCAAAGGACGACACAGAAAACACAATTTTGAGATGCATTTGATTTTGATACATTCATTTACAGAGTGATATTCTCCATTTTTATCTGTAACAAACCAGTTCCAAAATAAGTCTGGCTCAGATCTACAGGCTCAATTTATAGAAGCAGAGTGTTTAGAAACAGAGATCATTGCACCAGTTTAACAACACCAGAATTAAGACTGACCTGAAGTTGGCAGCGAAGGAGAAAGTGAGTGAAGAAGACAGGAGAGCAGGGAAAGTAATGTTCTTTGAGATGAAAGCAGGTTGTAGGGGACAGATCTTCATTGAACTTATGCCAGAAGCTTCGTTTAGCTAACATTTGTCAATATTGAGTTGTCAATCGTCTTCCCAATACACGTGGCAGGAATTAAGCTCCTCCAGAGAATCAATACTACAGGCAGTGCTGCTGAAAAGCACAACTGGATCTCCACTTATCCTGCCCGATTTCTCTACTTATGGTGTTAGCTAGATGTTAGCAAATCTGCTGCTCGCTGGAAATATCCACAATTATATGCTGATGAAAGCATTTCAATTTCAATAACTTCATCTCCATTTTCTTTCTAGAAACTCCGTTTTGGGAAACACTGAATGAAAGCCCATAGTTTTCTACAGGTTTGCTATTCTTCCTGCTTATGGTAACCTCCTTTTCACTAAATCAAATAGCTACATGCAATGTCTCATTTTGCAGAGACGAGAGAGCTTCGGGTGTGTTATGGTGGAACCAAAGCCCAGTGTTAGTCCATGCTGTGCAGTGAAAGGTTAACTGATTACCTCAGGTGAGGAATTTGAGATTATTGTTTCCTCCTTTACAATCTGGAAATGAATCCTAATGCAACACATAAACAATGATGTGCATTCGCTCTGTAATACATGAGCATGACTGAGCTGCACACATGATGAAAGTGTGGCTGTGATGATGCAAGGCAGATAATAAAAACTTGTCTTTGACGTTTCATTGCTCTGTGGCAAGAATGAGTTTGATCTGTTTGGCAAAGAACAACGTAATCTTTGAAGACAGCAGGTTGTGCGAAATTCTACTTAGGGGTGTCAGAGTTTTCAGGTTATTTGTAAAAATAAGGACTGTTGGCGTATAGTCCAAAACGCACCGAGGTTTGGCGCTGCAAAGTGCAACACGTCCTAATCGCTCTCAAGGTAGACAGAGATGGTGAAGATCAGATTACAGAAACTCTACTCCAGTTACTGAGCTTTTTTATGTCCTGCCTCAGTTTCATTAGAGAGCAGCAGACCATCTGATAAGTTCCAAGAAATGCGTGGCACTAGATCAGCAGCCTGCGGCCCCAGCAATACGGCTGAAAGATTCCAAGACCAGGGATTCTCTAAAGCGGACCCGAACTCGTTTCAAAGTTGAGAGACTTCGCGGAGCGTGCAGTGGAAGCTGCGATATCATCCGGGCCATTGTAAGCCGGCTGGTGTAATTAGAAGCTTCGCCTGCGGTGCTCTTTAAACAGGCCAGACAGACGGAGAGGCCATCTGCTGTCCTGACCAGTTCTCAACCTCATCGTCTGCCTCCTCTCCGTGGGAAAAAAAAACAAAAAAAACAAGCTCCCAACTCTTAGTCACATTCGCTGCGACCGACGGCCAACTTTTACACTCTGTTATGCTATTTTACA